TCGAATGAAAAAAGGCAAACAAATAAATAATTCCATCTTGGTATGTTTCTATTGAAAATGTGGAATGTTTCTCTGTAGGCGATTCATCGACCAGCAACAGAAAACATGAACATCTACCAGTCCTTATTATCAAATTTATGAATATATATCTTCATTTTCATTAAGTAAAAATAGTTTAACCCGTACTTCACTTCTTTTATGCTCATATTATCAAGAAAAATGTTGTACATCATCATTAATGGAACAGTTAAAAATAAGTTTATTATTTTTAATAGTAACTTCTATTGAACATGATCAATTACAACAATTATTATTTGGCATAGATAAATGGTAAGAAGAAAAAAGGAATTTTTTGTTTAATCTGGTTATTTTAAAGATACTCTTGAAATAATTATCGTAAATCAGTGTAATTATTTTATGACTTACTTAATATGAAACAATTTCCACAAAAATTTATTGATCAATTCATGATGAATAATTCGAATCATCTTATTGAATCATATGAATATTATTTCTTCATAGTCTTGAATATTTAAAAGCATGTCTATCAAGAGGTGAAATATTAATTTCTACAGTTTGTTTCCACACTTTTTCTTTAATCTAAATCAAAACAAATTAATAAATTTCATTCTTTTCGATGAGGTTTTTTTCGTATATTATCTAATTTGATAAATTCGTGATCATGAAATGAAGTAATAAATCATTCATTTAAATTAACAATTGATTATGAAAATATTCTTCGTTTTCATATTCCTGTTTTCATTGTGATACAATCGATCAAATAAAAGATAAAATTATTCGTTATTTAAATTTATATAAAACAACTTATCGATTAATTAAATATGAACAATTGAATTTATGTATTCTATCGGTATATATGTACGTTCAAATCATATTTCGATGTAAAAAGATTATTTAAATAATTCTATCAATTCTTTGTCAGATACAAATTGAATTGATTAATGATAAAGATTTAATTGAAGAAAATTAATAGAAAATAAAAATCATTTACAACAAGCTTTGTTTGATTTTTATCAGCAAATTCCAAATGGATTAGAGCTATTTATGATTTAGACGAATGCATTAGTTGAAGAAAATAATCAACTTTTATTTAAACAGTAAGTTTCAATGTTTGGTTTATTTATTTTCATTCTATGAGAATGAATCTTTAGACGAGAAATTCTTAGTTTGTTTGTCTAAGATCTTCTTATTTAAAAGAGATAATTGAAAAGGATGAGTTTGAGTTCATTATCATAACTTATATTAGGTGTTGCTAACAATCTTTCCTTAAAAAAAGTCGTCTAATACATAAGGCTTTCAGTTTGATCCTGCAGGATTCCAATTATTCTACACGATTGAATTGTTTTAATGTTAGATGCTATTCTTTTTATAATAAGAAACTCAAGTTTCATATTCAAAATGACTGACGAATTAGATTGTTGGATGGAAGTATCTTTAAATATTATGACTAACACAAGGATTGACTCGAGAAAATGGGCAATCGGTAATCATGTAACAAGTTCTTAATATTTAAAAAAGCTACAGTTCGTTTATCGAGAACAACGATACTCTATGGAAGACAAGAACTGTTGCAAGCTTCGAAACAATTCTCGAAATGATATTGTCACGTTTCCATGAATGTTTCTATCTGTTATTCTCTTGAGTGATAGAGTTTTCTATAGCTTATTCACGTATCGAATACTTGAAATTATTTTTATTATTAGCTAAAACTCCAACTGTCTCAAACAACTCATCTTATATAAGCGTACTAATAACGAGTTTTCTTCATTAAACGCTTTATCTGAAGAATAGTTGTTGGAATTCTGCTAATCTAATTCTTGGCAGATGATTCGGACGTTTACAACATTGCGTCTATCTTATATATAATGATTATCACAACTTGATCGATATCAAAACTTTTTAAAAACTCTCACCATTACTAAGAATACACTATGTGCTTTGTTCTTTTTCTCATTTTGAAAGATTTTCTTCAGGAAAGACGTTTGTCTGAGTTGAATATATTTATGCTCATACACACCATAAAGATACGTACATTGACTGTAACTATGAGCTAAAATTGAAATTGATAACTAACGTAGACAACTATTTTTCATATGAGATGGAACAAAAGTGAAGACATGAACAGGACAGAATGCATAATTTATCGAGGAAGAGATTTTTTTTCTTTTCTTGATGATCTGAACGAAAATACAAGACAACGAAAGAGTGATTGCTTCAAATGTAGACGATTGATGAACAATGTTCCTATCTAGTGACGAGAAAAAGAGATAAAATAAGGAACGAGTAATTATTGAAATTTGTGCACACAACTAACTCGAACTAATCTTTTTTCTTTTATTATAGTTACAAAAAATATAAAAATAGATTAACTGAATTTGCTGTGTTGAACACGCATGTTACTCGTACATATATTTCTACTTATAAAAGAGAGAAAAGGAAATGTGTTTCGATATTTAAGTATTTATAAGCGAAGAGGAATAGTCTGTATAAGTCAATATGATATCTTAACACATATTGTTATTAAGTGGTAGTTTCTGTTTGCCATATAAAGATTTGAGCATAACTATAATCTGTTTGCTTGTTAATGTAATGCACAGTATACAATCAAACTACCATTGGCTTTCTTAAACTTGCAGTAAAATAAATGGAAGCTGAACAATATAATATTATAGTGTTCTTTGAAAATCCCACTATAATTTCTGTTGTTGATAGTCTGACTATTAGCAGATAGTCAATATAGGATTTGTTGCATGTCTATCTTTGTTAAACATATCAGTTTGTGATAGTATGATTGGAGCAAATAAAAGAAAAGCTTGCTGTGTTGTTCTCATCACACGGTAGTAAAGAATGATATTTATTTTAACGATCTGCCATACTGCTGCAACATTGATGAGAAGATACAGTGAGAATATCTTTAAAAACATGATGGAGACTCATTACGAGGAATGCTCTCAACTAGATTGTTAGGATATTCATTACTTTAACTTCGATTATTAGTAGTAGAAAGCAGAGACAGAAACGAGTCAGAAAAATCGCGACTCGACTTAACTCGGCCTATATCCCTAGAGGCCCTGACTCGTCTCATTTTGGTCTCGGCTCTTTATTAACTGTCCCACAACTATAGTTGTCAGATCGCATAAGCCTTTTGTCTTAAGAGCCACAGAATTTACTCGAGTTCTTTTACAAATCAAATCGATAAAATTTTTCGCAGGTGAGGTAATTGGCCGTTTGCTTCCCGTTTTATACATCAATGATAGGTTTTCTTGTGGAATACGTTGTGTCTGAAGCTATCAGATGTGGATGACAATTATACACCTGGAATAAATGAAACAGATAAGTAGGCGGCAGACGAAGATACTATCGCACGGCCATCGAAGAAGCGAGCGATTTGATTCGTGCAAAAAGATGTCATAGTACAATATTATGATTTTCTCTCTCGATCAGGCCATATTACTGTATTCCTCCTCTCTACTTTGTTGATTTATTTCCTTTTTCTCTCGTGCGATGTTACCGTTCCGTTTTTATGTTTTTTCTTCCGATTCATCTGCAAATATATAGTTCATCCTCTCTCTCTCACTCGTTAGATGTGTGTGAACAACCGTAAGATCCCAGGTCATTATTAGGATCTCTATTGTGATCAGTTAGTTCATTGTCGTACGTCTCCTGTATTTCAACACCATTTGCAGTCGAATATTACTGTATATGTTCTCCAGGTTCGCTTCCTATTTTCTGTGTAAATAGTCAGTTCTTTTTTCAATAAATGGAGTTTGGTAGACACACACACTAACATACAAGCAGGTCAAAAGTTTACAGGAGGCAAAAAGCAAAGTATAAATTGCTACTCTCTTCATTTTTAAGTGTAGACATCAATTAAAGCATTATGTCGATCTCTTGCAACTGTCAACTGAGAAAAAATTAATTGGAGTGTCTGAGTAGTCGAGCCCTGCAAGTTTGACTCGACTCGACTCGACCGACTTTCTGCCATTCTCCGCTCGACTCGATCTACTTTCTACCAATCTCCGCTCGACTCGGTTTCGGTCTCTGATGTGTACATGTGAGAAAAAGTTGTATCTCATTTACACTCAAAAATTTGAATTTGTTAGGTATAATGGGCATACTACGAAGCGGAAAAGCTACAATCAACGTTAAATCCTGATTTTCTGATTTTTTTAAAATTTACTGTAGCGGTGTATTACGTAGTATGGATGGGCGTTTTCCGTTAGAAATAACATTTCAACCACTTTTGTACATAAATTTAACGAAATTGGGCAGAAAACGAATAAAAAAAGTGGAAAAAAAATGGAAATGTCGAAAACATAGACAAAAACACGTTCCTTCGTGCGTTTTTTGAAATAAGCGAAAAAACGCACAAAATTCGACTAAAAGTCGCTAATTTTGTTCAAAAAACATCAAAAACCGACATATCTGTCTGCTTGGGGAGTACATCCACACCCACACTCCCCCACTCTCAATGTTCTAGGTAGTTTGAATTGAATCCCACCACTTTGTTGACAATTAGTTCGAAGATTCTCAACTGCAGTACAGAAACTTTTCAATTCAATATTGATTGTTTTTAAATTTTTCCATGCTGTTTCTAAAATAGTATTCATTCGGTGTGCTAAACAAGAATATCTTACTTCATCAGTTAGACTTAGAGCTTTAACCATATTTGGTGCTTGATCAGTAGTAACAAGTGTATCACCAAATGATAAATTAAATGATTTGAAGATTTCTTCAATTTGATACCAAATATTAATTCCAGACTTTTCTTCTTGAAAATGTTTGCATCGTAATAATGTATGATTTAATTCGTAAATATCATTAACAAAGAAGATTGTAAAATCTAAGTAAGTTCTCTTCATTAAATCATCAGTCCTAAGATCAGTCGTAGCTGTTACACAATGTTGTTTAATTGATTCTTCTAACAAAGAACATACTTGATCAGTATATTGATGAAACTTCGATAATGTTTCTTCACGAATCGTTTGTCTTCCATAAAAAATATCATGGACATCTACTAAACCAATATCAGCTCCAATTTCAATAGCAGTTTGAACTAATTTCAAAGTACCATCATTTTCTAATGATTTAAATGAATGTGAACCAGCAACAATAAATTTTAGCTCAGCATCTTTCAGTTTTAATTTATACTTTTCTGGTAATGCATTTTTGTGAAAAGCGAATTTGGGTTGAATAAGAGATGTTGTTCTTTCACCTTTTTGTCCTTGTTTATCAGCTGAATTTATGTTTGGCTTCCATTTACAATGTTTTAAATGATCATGTATACCATTTAATCCAATTTTTGTTTACCATTAGCATCCGTTTTAGAATGTGTTCTATAAGCCATATAACAATGGTTACATGTTGCCAATCCTTCCAGTAAATGAGTTGTATCATTTTCATTTTTTTTCCAGTTAAAGATGCGTCGTTTTTCCATATTGCATTGCTACCTTTTCGTTTTTAACTAATTCAAAAGCTTTGGATTTTAATTTGTATTGAATTTGTTGTTTCGTACGATCATCCATATTCATAATTAAGATGGAAATAAAAAGTTAGTTTATTTTATATAGTTCTCTTGAATTTAAACTTATTAAAATACGATCAGAATGCAGATGCAGATGCAGATGCAGATCAAGTGTTCAATCACAGCTGGTTAAGAACAAGAATTAATAATTATAAATATGTTTAATGTAGCTTTATAGATTTTGTTATTCAACATTTGTATAACGATATTGATGAATGCATTCGTTTAAATTGTTGCAATTTATTTGACATATGGTTCTAATCGTTCAAGTATATCTAGTGCACTTTTCTCGTCTTAATTTAATTACACTTATGTAATACCATGACAAAACAAACAATTAGATTAATGTCAAAAGAAAAGATAAAAGCATATAGGCTCGTCATGTGTGACAATTCGTTTGTTTTTTTAAACAGTAAATAGTTTGCCTTTTATTTGAAAAAAATTCAGAAGACACATTTGAAAAAGGTTGTAGCCTTTTTTGAAACACGATTTGAAAGGAGTGTTGAAGTATATAGGGTAGAAATTTACACCCCCCCCCCCCTCCGACAGACTATGACACAGAAAATCGATACCCATCACAGACTGTGACCGAGAAACCCTATATCCATCACGGGTGGGGACAGAGAGACGCCAGAGACCATCACAGACCGTGACAGACCTTTTGATACACGATTTACGATTATACATCACTAGAATCTCATAAGAATATATCAACTGCTTTCTTGTTGTAGTTCTAGAGAATTAAGTAAATAATGATGAATAAATGGGTCCCACGGTATATCGCAGAAAACCATATTCATGTGACTAATAACAACAGTTACATTGTGTTTCACATTTTAATTCCAGAGGGATTGCACTAACAGCTATTTTTTAAAGTATGAATAAGATAGACGCAATATCCTCCTCATGAAGAATTAAAAAATTTTGTTAACAATCTGCAACCGGCAAAAACAGGTAAAATCCGACCGGTTGCACAGACTCCACCGGTTTCAACGGGCTGGTTACATCTCTGGTGTGCGTGTGCCTTGTTCTATAAGTGCACTCACACCCACACCCTAGATACTTTTAACCACGACTTTCGATAATCAGAACGCAGACTACACTTTTTAATACTGCATGCTGGTATATTTTTTCCTCCGTCATAACCAAGCACTGCCAACAAATATTTTGTCTAGAACAGCAATAACAAGTATTTCATACAAACGAGCTTTCTCCGCATCCAAAATTTTATTTCAGAGAGACCACAACCTCACATTTCTCTCGATTTACTTCGCCTATCCTCCACAGTGAATAAGAGATAATTGCTTACACACTAATTGCTTATTCACTAATTGCTCTCTTTTCGCAACAGGCAAAAAATACACACCTATTCAGAAACCTTTTCAATTAAAATATTTACCTATTTTCTTTACATTTCTAAATGCCTGCCATTTCATATTCTCATGCAAAGAAAAAAATAGTAACAAAAATAAGAGAAAACGTTAAGTGTACACGAAAACTCCCCTGAAAGAAAATCGAGTATATTTTTACCAAAAAACCCAGCGATAACGAGAAAAAACCAAAGCCTACATAAGAAGCGAGTGTGGGTGCGAGGGTATCGGTGAGTGTGGGTATGACTGCGGCTGTGGATGTGGGTGTGAATATGCTTTCTTCTTTAAGTACACCCACGCCCACACCCACACCCCACCCACACCCACGCCCACACCTCACCCACACCCCACCCACACCCACACCTCACCCACACCCACACCTCACCCACACCCACACCCACACCTCACCCACACCCACACCCACACCCACACCTCACCCACACCCACACCCACACCTCACCCACACCCACACCCACACCTCACCCACACCCACACCTACACCTGTTTATTACTTGTTTCATTTATTCTTCTAAAGAGTTTCAGGATGGCGCCAAGTTAAATAGAGCAAACTATCAGGTATAATCTTTTCGGAAGGCATTGCACGATGTCTCACTTGACTTGAATGAAAATGCCATATGTGTAACGACTTGCATACATTGCGTACCTTGTAACCTTGTTGAATAAGCTCATAAATTATCTTCATTTCAATATTCCAGGTTCCCATTTCGAACGGAAGTTGATGAGATATATTTGATACAAGTGGTGGGCGAAATAAGAGTGCATCATGACTTCCCATGTATCTGTCAGAGCAATGGTGGCCAATTGGATTGATCGCCGTATCGACTTCAAATCGCGAAAGATAAAATACGGTTCTGCAATCGATCATAGGAAAGTTACTCAAAAGTGATAAAGTTTGATCAAAGAAAATATCAAGATTTAAGAGAACAGCATAACCTGAATGAATGTTCTTATTTGCATAATCGATGCCTTGTTCGATGGTTAGACGCTCAACAGATGAGTTTTTCAAAGAACTAATAACTAACTTTGATTTGAGAAGAGATATTGGGAAGTTTCGATTACTCTTGACATCCGTTTCAACCGTACATGGTATACCATCTGGCTGAAGAAAATGGATTTTAGTTACTGCTTCATTAATCACGTTCATATGTAAGACCAGAATGAGCTCGGATCGCCGACTCAAGTTCGCGTCTTGATACCATTGAGTAATCAAATGGATGGGTTGTCGATAGTTTCCATCATTTCCTGACCCCTGTTTCCATTGTACGATATTCATGAAATCAGCCACTGTGTAACATTTTGAATTATTTTGAAACAACGAGCATGCCTTATCTGGCTCTAACTCGACAATATCTTTTTGATCTGTCGTAGAAAAGAATAAAAAAAATGTTTCAACCAGTTTTTTTCTTACTGTAAATGAATGAGGAGGCTATTTTGAAGATAGATACCACGGAAAAAATATTTATTATGCATAAGTATACACCCAATCCAAAGAGTATTCGAACAATATACTTGAAGATGCGTGATCTTGAACGAAACATCTACAGAATAGAATCATATCGTAGCAATTGTCATAAAGAATTTATTATATTGCTTTACAGAACATGACCTATTTTGTGCTTCTCTATAGGATTTCCAGACATACAAAATTTCAATACATTTAATTTTTGCCAAGTAAACTCTGTCGCACTTTTACCTTAGTCGCCCGTTTTAGTCGTAAACAAGAGAAAAATAAAGGTGATGGATATAGTCTAAAAAAGATCGGTTCTATTCGAAATTAGCTCATAATTAACTTCTATCTTCAACTGTATACTATTTTTCACTCACAGGAGCATTTCTGCGGATCTTTTTATAGTATATCGAATGCAGTAGCCAATTGGCCTGCACACATTGGATTTCTCTTAAAAATAACATAATGTGACCACAATCATTACGATCTGACCCCATTACAGTAGAACCATTCTTTTTTTTTGCGATAGATAAAGCTGAATGACTGCCTTAAAACCATATTAACTCATGCATGAACATATGCTACTTTTAACTTTTTTAAAGGCCATACTTTCAAAATAGGGGTGTGGATGCCACGGTGTGAATATAGATCTTCTAATCAGTCATATTCACACTTACACTCACCATAACTAATGAATAGTTAGCAGACCAATTGACGATGTTCAACTAGAAAAAGTCACCATTCTTTAAATCTGTTCTACATTTGTGGTCAAAGGTGGCTAAAATTAGGCAAAATTTAGCAACAAAGAATCATACTACTATGCATTTAACAGTGGAAACTATACGTGTGAAGAATCAAAAGCATAAATGTAGAGCTAGATAGTCATAATGTCTAGGGATGAATAATGAAAGTGACAACATCTATCCATCTAGGGGTGTCGGCTTAACATTAGCATTGCATTAAATAATGCTTAATTTAATGCTTTTGTATTAGAATTAAAAAAATAATTTTAATACTTTGTATTAGAATTAAAAAATTAATTCAATGCT